CGACACCAGACGCCCTTCACGTCGAGAATCGCGAGCCGCCCTCCCGAGAGAGGGATCCCGGGCCGCCGCCGAGAACCGCCAGGGAAGCGCCTCTCGGGTTATGGCCCCGTTCCCACCCCAGGAGAGCTGAATTCCAAGAAAGACCATGTCAGTGGGAAAGACAGGCTCTTGGAAAAGGGCCTCGGGGATTAGGTAAACCACAGGGGCCGTGCAGGAGGCTGGAGGACAGCAGACAGACAGCAGGACCCTTCCTAGGGCGCGAGGCCCTTCCCCCCTGCTGGCACCCACGGGGTCTGCAGAGAAAACCTCCAGTTTATAGTCTGTTTAGTCTTGCCGCCCTGGAAAGTTTCATCAGCTTAAAAGAGGATTTGACTCCTGGCCCAGAACTCACTGGCTCCCCGTCCCCCAGGGAAGGTCTCCTTCTCCACATCTCCCTCCCTCTCGAGGCTCACCGAGAGGAGGGTCCTTCCCCCAAGGAGCCCAGGGCAGACCCGCCCCCGAGAGGGTCCTTCCCCGACAGGCCCTGAGGTGCCCCCCATCCACCCTCCGGAACACCGGCACCCCACCCTGCAGACTCCTCCGTCTGGAGCATCGGCCAGCTCCAGGCACACACGGGAGCCCAGCAGGCGGCAGGGTCCACCAGGTGAGCCCTGGCCGTCAGAGTCCAGGCCCGGGGACAGTGCTGGGCGGGCAGGGGGCCCCAGTCACGCGGGGGGGCCAGCTCTGGCGGCCACCGACCCCGCCAGCGGCTTGTGCGGGCTCTGCCTGGCAGGCGCCAGGGCTTCCCAGACCCCTCCAGCCTGGGGACTCCAGCGCGCTCGGAGCTTGCGCAGGACAACGGGCACCCACCAGCACGGCTGGGGCCACCAGGGAGGCGACCTCGCTTGCGATGGTCCCGGTTCCCGCGGTCGGACGGTAGAGAGATGCCGGGCGGCTGGGACTGTCGCGCCCGCCCCCCCATGACTCCCTCGGGACAGGCCGTGGGCCCTGGGCAACGACAGGTGCGGGCGCCGACACCACTGCACGGCAGTTCCGCTGGGTGACCTTCGGTAAGTTACTCAACCTCTCTGGCGCCGGGTGACCCAGCGCGGGGAGGGCAGAGCGCACAGGCGGTAAGCTGGCATGGGGCCCTGCAGGCGGCCCTGCCTGGCCTCCCACCCAGGTTTGCCCCCGAAGACGAGCAGCCGCTTCCCACCGCCTGCCAGACGCACTCGCTCCCCTGGCAGGCTCGCCTGTTTCCGAAAACACAAAGCTTGTTCCTAAGCCCGGGGCGAACACAAGACGTCTTCCTGCACGGGGGGGCCTGCAGGACCGCTCTTGGTGGGGGTCTGAAGAAGTATCCTCGACCTCCCTCGACAGCAGGCCCCCGGAGGGTGGGACAAAGCCTGGGGAGCCCCTGCGGCTCTCCAGTCCCAGGGTGCAGAGCCTCCCCAGGAGAAGGGGCAGGACACATGGCACGGAGCTCCCGGGAATGTCACTGCAGACGCCAGCAGGCAGCTCCCCGGGCAGCCCGCAGGCATGAGCTCCACCTGGGAACAGGTGGGCAAAGGCGGGGGCTTGGCCAGGTCAGCGAGGTGGGAAAGCAGTGACCGAGGAGCCAGCCTGAGCCGCCAGGGCACCCGGAGGGACGGGCCACGGGGACCTTGCCCAGGACACAGCCTGCCTGGGGAGGCACCACTCAGCGCCAGCCTCCCCACGGGTCTCTGGGCCCATGACCAGGAGCCCGTGAGCCCAGGCGGCCCAGCCCTGCACGGCGCGGGGCCCTTGTCTCCGAGGCGCGCGGCCAGCACTGAAGTCTCAAGGTGGGACGCAGGACAGCGTGTGACCCCGTGCCCCCGTGGGGGGGGGACCTCGGTCACGGCCGCCACCACGGCTGAGGGGTTAGACCCCGGCGGGAGCTGACGACGGGCCACCGCTCTGCCAGGGCACTGGCGCGGATGGTTCACTACGGTCCCACGGTGCGGGCGCCTCACGCACGTCACGGGGCACCCCGGGACCCAGGCACTGGCCCTGCCGTGCCCATTGTGCAGATGAGGAGCACGGGCCGGAGGTGGGCTCCAGGCCATCGGCTGGAGGGGAAGCGCCTGAGGTCACTGTGCGCCCCACTCCCCCGGGGGGTTCGGAGGGACGGGGGCGCTGTGCCCCCGACTGCAGGGCGGCCCCGCCAGAGCCAGGCTCACAGCAGGGCCAGGGCGGGGAGGGGGCCCCAGGGAGCGGGGGGCGGCTGCCGCCTGCCCAGCCGCACGCCCAGGCCAGCGGCGGCGCCAGGGAGGCCCCCGGCGGGGTGCGGTCTGACTGAGAGCGGGCACCGCGCTGCGGGAAGCACTTGTCTGCCTTGGTCCTTGGTCTCTGCCCCCTGCTCTCTCTCTCTGGATAAAGAGGCCTCCATGGGGCCATATGCACCCCAGGAAAGCCCGGCACCCCCAAAAGACGCTCTACAGTTCAGCAAGTCCCCGTTTGGAAACAGTGCAAATCGCAAAGCCCAGACTGTGCCAGCGGCCACTTGGCCATCCACCAAAGTACCAGAGCCTTCCGGCTCCCCGCTGTGGCTTGCAGAGCTTCAGGACAAACCGGATTTTAATGAGGGGAAGTCACCGTCCCCAGGGAAGAGTGTGGCTGCTGGGAAATGGCTTTCAACAGTGCTGGCTCCTCCTTCTAAGGAGACCCCTCTAGGAACCAAAACGGTTAAAATGGCAAGTGCTGCTATTTGGAATCTGCTGAAAAGTCAAGAGTTAAATCATTTTTATTTCCAAACATAAAAATAAAGATTCTGTCTCACTTGCCACAAGACAAAGGGTGGCTGGGAACCTGAGAACCACCCCCTCCCACCAACTTTATCTGTGAAGGAAGAAAAGCAACAACGGTGCTCGGGGCCCTGAGGGCACCCCACCCCCGGCTCCCTGGTCTTCAGCAGGAAGGACGGGCCACGTTTTCCGACGCAGACAGGTCCAACAGCCGGGAAAGGCCAAGGCTATGGGACAGCTTCCCTCACAGCGTGAGTGTGCGGTCAACAGAAGTCTCTGGTGCTTGGCAACCCCTCAGCCTCAGATTGAAAGCCACAACCATGAAGAAGGGCTCCTGGAACTCCGAACCTATTTCTGAGCGGCAATCGAAAGCCTGCCCGCTAACTGAACAAGACCTCCCCTGGGGGTCGGAAGGCTAAGCAGAGGAGAAAAACCTGAGCTATCCAACCTGAGATCTGCTTCCCTGGTGGAGCAGATGGTAAAGCGTCTTGCTTACAATGCGGGAGACCTGGGTTCGATCCCTGGGTGGGGAAGATACTCTGGAGAAGGAAATGGCAACCCACTCCAGTACTCTTGCCTGGAAAATCCCATGGACGGAGAAGCCTGGTAGGCTGCAGTCCATGGGGTTGCAAAGAGTCTGACAGGACTGAGCGAGTTCACTTTCTTTTGAAAATCATAAATTGTTTTCCCTCTCTAACAATAAACCTGGGTAAAGCGGCGGAAGCAGCGGTGGTCCTCAGCCACCCCTCCCCCGCACGAGCAACTCGGGGCAGCGAGGAGACCACGTGGCTCATAAACGGAGCGGCTGGGACTCGAGCCCGCCCTGACCTTCCCAGGGCTCCCTACAGCCCTGGAGTCTCGACAGGCTTGTGCTCGTGGGAAAACAATTCTTCCGGCTCGGAAAATCAGGGAAGAAGAATTTGGCGTAGGATCCTTTTAAGATAGATGAAGCTTTCCCCTGAATCTTTACAATAAAAGACCCACTAGCAGTGCACAAAAGGGACCAGAAATCAGACAGATCCAGATCGGGCCCTGCACAGGCGAGCCACGGCACGGCACCTGAGTTCAAATCCCAGTCTGCTCACGGGCCCTCCTCTGCACTCAGACGTCCAGCAAGAGGAGCGAGGGCAGCGGCAGTCACCCAGACTCCCGGGCGCTGGGCAGGCCCCCAAGCCAAGCGCTTCTCAGGGGAGCCCCGGAGAGCCCCCCGCGAAGGCAAGGCTGCCAGCACCCACGTGTTACACATGAGTCCTGAAGCTCCCAGTGGCATTTGCTCCAGATCCTTGCACCAGCAGGAAGTCTACACCAGCGAAAACTCAATCCCAGTCTGTGCGGCCCCCAAGCCTTGGGCACCAGTTCCCCCGGGGAGCCCTGAAGCCGCTCAGGCCTGGGTGAGGACAGCCCAGCCGTCCTGCAGTTCATCCCAGTTCTCCGGGCAAGTGTGGTCGGAGCAGAGTCACGCTCAGAGGGTGTGTCTTCATTATGCCCCACATCTGGCAGTGCCATCTGTGCCCAGGAGCCCAGCCCGCCCTGCAGTCCACAGGCTGCGGGCGCCCTGGGCAGTTGCTCTGCAGAAAGGCGGCCAAGTTCAGCAGGACGCACAGACCTACCTTCACACGCTGGTCTTCCCCACCCCCCGCTTCCATGGAGGCGGCTCCTCTGATTTCCCTTGCTAATCCACATCCGACCAACTGTGCTCTGTCCACCTTCCCACCTGCTCCGACGCCAGGCCGCGATCAAGGCTGACGTGTGTCAAGCGCTTGCTGGGAGCGGGCAGTGGTGCTTTACCGCATTCAACCCCACTGTAAGTTTTGCCACTGTCTATGAAAAAGCTGCATTCATGATCCCACTTTACAGATAGAGACACTGAGGCTCAAGCGTCATAGCAAGCTGCCCAAGGCCGGAAGTCCCACCCCTCGGGCCTGCACCGAGACCAGTCCCCATGTACCTCTCACAGCTACGCACGCGGCCCCGGTAGGAGCCTGCAGAGAGACAAGACCAGAGCTGCCTCGTTGCCACGCGCTCAAAGCCCAAGGGCTCATCCAACCACCTGCCCGTCTCCCCAGGCAGACATCAGTCCTGCCCTTAATAGAAGCGGGATGGTCAGCACACATCCCCCCTGCAGCGGAGCATGGGATACAGGCCACAGGGCGTCGGCTCGGCTGGCCCCAGGCCCCAGGCATAGGACAGGCCCGCCGACGGGGACCACACACCGGCGTGTCCCGGGGGCGTGGGATGGCCCAGCCCCCTACTGACCTCAAACACTTCCTCATCCAGAATCCGGGTGCCGAACACGATGATGCCATTGACGTCTATCACAGGGCGGTCGCTGCGGTCCAGGAACTTGGTCGTCTTCTTTTTACAGTCCAGGATCAAGGTGACATTCTTCTTGTGGACGCTGAGAGCGATTCTGTGCCACCTGCCAAGAAACAGACAGCCCGAGCAGGTGACGGGGGGCGGGCGTCACCATGATGTGTGTCTCTGCCCAAAGTCCCGGGAGACGCGGGAGAAATCCCATTCTCTGCAGAGTCGCTCGGAGCCAAGCCGCTGCGGTCAGACAGACATGGGCACCGGTCCACACCGCGCGCCACGGGAGACCTCCTGCACTCAAGTCAGGTCTGTCGTCTCTGGGACGAGGTCAGCTCTCCGGCCCGGGGTGCAGCCCTGAAACCTGGTTCTGGTCAAGGGCAGGGAGGCGCTGTAGCACTTGCCTGTGTAGCATCCCAACCCCCAAATGCAAACGCAGGCTGTGGGGGAACTGAGTCTGCCGGGAGATGGGGGCGCTGATGGACCTACTCGAGACTGTCGGTGAGAAATGCAGGACTCACGTCCTGAGTTCCTGAAGCACCGCAGCATGTGGCCTCAGATGTGTAGGCCACGAAATGAGTGATCTCAAACGATCAGGGTTTAGGGAGGTTACCCAACAGAGAGTTCTGGAAACCCTGACTTCTCCTTTCTCAATCAGTCACCCTCACATCCGTGTCTGTATCCCTGTGTGCGTGCCAAGTCGCTTCAGTCGTGTCCAACTCTGCAACCCTATGGACCGTAGCCTGCCAGAGCCTGCTGTCCACGGGATTCCGCAGGCAAGACTCCTGCAGTGGGTGCTGCGCCCTCCCTGTCTCTGCGCCCTTAAGGACGCCTCGAATCCTCTCTGGAAGAGGTTGGGTCTCCCTACACAGTCTCCCATGTCCCTGCGGGCACTCACAGACGAGCATTTGATATCATTTAGTGCACTTTACAAGGGGGCCAGGGAGGCCCTGGGAGAGGAGAGGTCTCCAGAGCCACAAAGGATGAGCCCAGATGGAGACCAGTCCCCCAGACTCCAAGCTCAGTGCTCTCTCTGACCTGTGGGCGGGCTGACACCATCCTGCTCTAAATCACATCCTGTTGCTAGGTCCCTAGTTCCCAGCAGCTTTACGTGACCTTCCCGACCCTCTGGCAGGGGAGGGAGGGGTTGCCAAGCGGTGCCACTTACTTGCCATCCGACAGGTTGATGCCTCTGAAGAGGGGGTAGTCCTCTGGCCCCGGTTTCCCCGTGTGGTCCTCGTAGAGGAAGACTGGAGAGCGGCCCATCTCCAGGCCGATCTGCTGGATGCCCTGCTCATTGTAGATGGAGACCAGGAAGGCCTGGCTGCCTTTCTTGGCTTTCACAGTGGTTAGGATGGAGAAGTCCTCGGGAAACGCAGATGCTGGAACAGAGGACAGAGGTTAGGAGGCAGCTGGGAGGCCCCCAACCCTGCCCAACCACAGAACTGCAAACCAACCAACTCAGGGACCCAGAAGCCTTTGCTGTGGATGGTGGTGCACAGGCATTTGCGTCACATCCGCCCCTGGATCAAACTGTTCCTGCAACCCTTCCTTAACACCACACGGCCAAACCTACCCCTTTTGAGGTTCAGTCCAAAAGGAAACCTGACTGCTCCTTCCAACTGTGAGCCTTCAATGCCACCTTTTCACTTCCCAAACCTCAAAACATCTGTGTCTAAGTCCTTAGAACTTTCTAGAATGTGAGCTTCCTCTGGGCAGGTGCTGTTTCAGATGCACCTTTGACCCTCTGCAGTGCCCAACGCTGCACCTAGCAGAGTGTGTCTCATTCCACACCCTTTGGAGGGCGGGAGGAGAGAGAAGAGAGGAAGGAAGGCAAGAGGCTGGGGATCACCACCCAAATGGCAGACATTTTCTGGTTGATAGTGAATCAGAGAAAAGGTAAAATAAATCAGAAGACAAAACCCCAGGCCTGGTATGTTGATGGGGGGAGAGTTCCTCACAGCACAGACCAGCCAGACCCCCGCTGGCTCCAGAGTCCTGCACACACACAAGCCCTTCACGCCCTGCGTCGTGGATGGGACAGGAAAGCTCGGCCCCCTCTCCCATCCGTCCTGGTGGTGGGGGCAGCGGTGCTCCCTCTGCGCAGTCTGCAGTTCCCCGAGAGAGCGACGGCCTGGGGCTGGGCCCTCGATGCACAGTCAGGGAGGCTCAGCACACGTCAGTGCGTCTCAGAAACCGGGACGGAGCGGGCCCAGAGGAGCGCCAGCGGGGACTCCGGCCCGGGGAGGACAAGGCCCTGAGGCTGACGGCACCTCCCGCCCGCACGCTGCAGAGAGCTGGAGCCCGGCCCGGCTCCGGGTAAGGACCCAGCCCCTCATCGGCCCTCCCCTCCTCCAGACTATCACGAGGCCGACCAGATGGCCCGGTGCCTGAGCTGGGATCAGTTGGGGGGGCCTCCCTGGTGGTTCCGATGGAAAGAATCTGCCTGCAGCTCAGGAGAGCCAGGTTCAGTCCCTGGGTCGGGAAGATCCCCTGGAGAAGGGAATGGCAACCCACTCCAGTATCCTTGCCTGGAGAGTCCTGTGGACAGAGGAGCCTGGCAGGCTACATTCCACGATGTCGCAAACAGTCAGAAAGGACTGAGCGACTGACACATTCCCGTCCAGTGAGGAAGCTGTCCGTGGGCGCCCTCTGCTGATGGAACCGCCCCACAGCCGGGCAGCAGGGCTCTGCTTCGGGCCCCTGTGGGGGAGCCCGGCCAATGCCCTGCTGGGCGGAGGGCGCTGCCCAGGAGATCCCCGCCCCCGCGGCCCCCGGAGGACCCAGGGTGGATGGGTCTCTCTAGGGGGAGGATAAGAGGGGTCATGGCAGCTTTGCCAGCACAGAAACCACACCCCAAAGGCCAACAGAACTCTGTGAGCTCTCAAGGCCGTGATGGAGGGCAGGTGGAAGCAGCCATGCCTTGGCCCCAAAGCTCAGGCTGCGGTGCAGAGGCAGGGAGGCGTGTGGCTCGCAGCCCAGGATCAGGCCCCATTGCTGAGAAGCTGCAAGTTGGGATCTATTTGCTGTGTTCATCGCCCGGGTGGGGAGAGAAGGGGTGGGCTTGGCTAGTGGTGTTAGGGAAAGGCTGCAAGAAGAGCCTGATCAAGGGGTAGGTAAGCAGGGAACATCTGGTCACCACCACACCCAGCCAGGGTCCCAGGTCCAAGGGGAGGGGGTGTGGTCAGCATGGTCACCTGGGGGAAGGCTGGCTTCATTAAGGAGTGGACTCAGGCTGCCCTTCTCTGCACAAGAAGCCGTTTGAAAAGAGGTCTGTGGAGGCCACTGCTGTCACCAGTGTCCCCCCACACTGTCCTCCAAATGTGAGACGTGCTGGGGGGCCAGAGACCCCGGCCTGCTAGAACCGCCATGGCGGGGGGCGGGGGTGGCGCTGCACGCAGGCCTCGGGGCGAGACCCAGCCAGGACCTCGGCAGGCCCTCTGGTCACCGGGCTCTGAGGGGCCCGGGGTAGCATCTGACCCCAAGCATCTCAGAGGTCCCTGCTCACATCCAGGACAGACAACAGTCACCTTCTGAGTCCGTGAGCCCCGCTCTCATCTCAAAGGTCGGCCTGCCTCCTGTGCCCACCCCGTGGTGACCCCACGACTGACATCGCCCTCCTGCCTCAGGTAGAGAGAAGACTGGAAGTGGGAGGACCCTCCAGCCCGATCAGGGCACGCAGCCCAGGACCACAGACGCCCCCACTCCCAGCTCACTAAGATGCTGTCTACCGATGCTGAAATTGCTTCCGTAACACGTGTTCTCAGCTCAGATAACCTGAAAGGATGAATTACATCTAAGTCATCCCTCTCCTGGCAAAATAACAATGGATGTATCATCACGTCAGAGACGGTCCACTCTCATCTCCGCGTGAGCGGGACACTGGCGTGCTTCGTGATCTACACCGTCAGGGAGAAGCTCGCCTTCTGCCCAGGGCTTCGTATTTTATCCTCAGAGAAAAGTCAAAACTGAGCGGTAGGCTTGGTGAGAGGCCCCCGACTCCCTTAGATCATCTCCTGTTCACACGGGCCAAAGCCCAAAGGCACTGGAACAGTTTGGGTAGCCCATGGGCACTCAATAAATGCACGTGCCATTAAACTGAACCCTACGAGGCCAACAGTGGCTGGGCCAACAGTTTCAGGTTCTGGTGGACACAGGCTGATTCTGGAGCCCCAGCCTGTCGCGGAGGGAAGGCCCAACAGGATGGTGGCTGTCGGGGAGGGGGCGTCATTGTACCCGGTCCTCCCCGCCGGCCCGCACCGCTCAGATCCCAGGCAGCGATCTGAGAGCATCTCGGGGCCCCAAGGTGACCAGAGGGAGGCTGAAATGGGGAGCGCCCCCCACGCCCGGCCACGAGCACAGGGGAGAGGGCCAGGCGAGCACGGGCAGGCTGCCTTGTCTGGACACTTTCAGAGGGGGCGGCTAGACCTGGGTGAGGGCAGCGGCCAGTGTATCAGGGGACGCAGGGGCGCCCCGCCAGCGGCCACAGCCTCCGGGAACACACCTGCTGGCACACTCCAGGAGGGCCCGTGACTGTTTCTGGTAGGGTCTCAGGCCGGCTTTACCGCCACGTGAGGTCCTCCCACCCCCACTGCAGGCAACCAGGGCGACAAGGCCCAGGAACCCCCCACCTGCCGCCCGGCAAGCTGGGCAGCCCTCTCCGGTTGGTTGGCGGCACCCGGTCCTTGCAGAGACCACCATCCTCGGGTCTGATTCAGTCCCTGTGGCTCCATCCAGACGGGGTCAGGAGACCCAGCACCACCTGGCCCGGTCACGCTCTTGGTCCTGCCGATTCAGAGCCCAGACCACAGGCTGCAAGCAAGACTAGAGAATCCTTCTCAGATCAGGCAGGAATGCGAGCGCCCGCTTTGCTGGCAAGGGCAGAGAACACCACGCTGCTGCTCTTCACCTGCTGGGAAGCGGGCCGGGCGTCTGAAAAAGCCAGCCTGTGGCCCCCGACGTCCCAGGGGACGGCCTGGAGGCAGATAGGGGCCCAGCCCCGGAGGACAGGTGAGCGGGCGAGGCTGGTGTGGGCGGCTCTGGGGGGTAACTGACATCAAGGCTGGGGGCAGGGGACGACCCCACCGAGGACCCGAGCCTCATCCAAGAGAGGCTCCAAGGGAAGAAAGGACAGGCAGGCTGGGCGTGGTCATCACCCCCGGACTGCAGGAAAGACCCGGGGAAACGTCCACCTAAACCATCCGGAAGGAGCGGCCAGTTTCACCTGGCGTTAAGGAGGTGAGTGTTACATAGGACCCATTTGACTCCATGAGCGAATTATGGCTCGGAGGCCCAGTAACAGCCCTTTAAACTCTTTCAGCATCTAATGAAGATCCTAATTTGAGAGCCTCAGGAAACTGTGGGCTTAAAAGAAATTCCCCGTCTGGCTGTTCCAGAGTTCATACCAGATCTCCAGTAAGCAGCCTGTATCCTGAGACCCTCTGACATCACTCGCCACGAGATAACATGGCGGGGGGGGGGGGGGGGGCGTGGGTATAGGACGCCAACCCCGGGGAGCTGGCTGTGACCCCGAACTGTGCAGCAGGGATCAGATTAAACTAGCTGCCAGCAAAGAGGCTCCAGACGGCCTCAGGGCAGGATGCCTCGCGAGATGACCACAGGACTCGCACGTCGCACGGTGGATGTCTGTCCCAAAGCGCAGGCACCAGGGTCCAGGGCCGGCAGCTTGCCCAAGACCCCCCTGCCCCCAGCCCCCAGCCCCCCGGAGGGGGTCCTAAACTGGGCACTCGTGGCAGGAGAGCAGACAGCTTCTGCGTGATTCTGAGACCGCGTCGGCCCTGAAAGGGCAAGAAAGGCTCTCTGGACATGCGGCAGAGTGATAGCCACGAGGCTCTTTGTGGTGAGTGACCTGTGGGGCCCTGGTGAGCCCCGTCTGCAGTGCTGGTCAGACACTCTGGAGGGGCAACGTCTGACACCCCAAGGTGGTCGGGCGGGGGGGCTCCATAAGATTCAGTGAAGAGCCTTGGGGCCCCTGAAGTAGCTCACTGGCCCAAATGCCGTTCCTGGAAAGAGCGGACCCAGCCTCTCTCGCAGAGACAAACTCCTAAGAGTCCCTGTGGATTTAAAGAGAGGCTGAGAAAACACGGGCAGGAAGCAGAGGGTCAAAGTGAAAGGGCCAGAGAAAGCAAACGCAGCCCTGAAAGAGCACATCCTTCTGGAACCCTGTGGGCATGTGGCTGACAGACCCCACTGCCGGCCGAAGGACTGCCCGACCCGAGGATCAATGTCCTCGAGGCAGGCCATCACCGGAAAGGTGATGCTCACGCTTCTGAGGATTATAGACCATCTCCGGGGGAAGTGCATCCGCCCAGGGTCCCCAGGCCCTCTCTGATATCAATCGGGAAGAAGAGCTCCACTGAAGTGGGGGGAGAGGCTATCAGTTACAGGCCTGGTCATTCAGTCCAGACGGGCCCCAAGGCCGGCGGGCAGTGGAGGGGGGCCTACCAGCAACCATCGCTCCCGCTCTGGGCTCATCATTAAAAGCAGCGATGTGACACTTGGCAACTGGTTCTCATTAAAACCCTGCTCTCTCTTGCTGGGGGCTCTGATGTTTGATACATGTGTCTCTTAATGTCCTCACCCCCAATTAAGCTTCAGTCTGGAAGTGTTTCGTTTCCTGTGATCCCGGGGTTTCTTAACCACCCCCCCTCCCAGGAACCATGCATCTCTGTGTGGCCTTTGGAGTCCCAACAGCCAGCCCCACTGCTGGAGAGACACCTGCTTGGAGAAGCAGTGCGAACAGACGAGACCCCACTCCCACCTTTGGGTGCAGATGGTGACCGGTGCTAGACGTGTGCTTCCAGTCTCCTGAAATCAAATCGGGCTCCTTTCCGGAAAACCAAGCACGCTTCTCCCTCCATTAGACATTCCTCCCTTCCTCCCCGCCACTCCCGGCTCCAGGCTCCGGCTTCTGCCGCCTGGTTGGAGGTGGGAAGCGGAGCCACACCCCCGCTAGGCACACACTCCGTCTCTTACCAGGGTACAGCTGCTTGGTGGGCGCGCTGAGCTGGGCATCTTTCGTGACTCTGTAGGCGACATCCGGGCCTTTGGAAGATCGCCGCGCCGCACAGAAGCCTGTGGTCTTGGTTATTCCATCAGGCAGGTTGTGAAAATCTAGAACTTTCAGGAGATCTGCTGGCTGAGCTGAAAGGACAAAGGGGAGGTGACAAGTTAGCCACGAGCAGGAAGGGGGCACCCGAGGGTGCAGATGAGCTGGAAACCAACCCTCGGCCCCTCCTTCCGCCCGCTCCAGGACCGCCTCTGACCCTCCGAAGAGGCTGAGGGATCAGCTCCGAAACCAGGCGCTCTAGGCGGCAGGACACCCCACTTTGCGGAAATGCACAGGGCCAGCTCCCACCCCGGTCCCTGCAGGCGGCCACCCCCGGGTGGAACCCTTTCTTACTCTGCCCTCACGTTGCTCTTTTTTCACCCCCGGTGCCGCACCAGCCCCGGGCTCCCAGGTCCCTCTTCTCAGCATCACAGGAAACCCACCCCAAACAGAAGCTGAAAGGCGGCGTTAGCTCCCACTGCTGATGGAAGCCGCTTTACCCAGGGTGGTCTTACGAAATGGGAGTGATTGACGGCCCGTGACGTCCGTTATGTGACTGCAGAGCGCGGGCCCTGCCCCCGGGTGCCACTGAGGACAGCGGGCAGGCTGCGGGCACATATCCCCCATCCTCATCCAGCTGAAGTGCAGTTTTCCCATAACCGTTTGCACAGGGTCAGCCTCCACTTGCTCCCAGAAGACCCACGCCTGCAGGGCGAGACAGCACCGGACCAACGGCAACAGTGGGCGGGCCCCTGCGCCTCTTCCGGAAAGTTCCCGGCCGCCCTCCGCGGCTCCGCACGGAAGGGAGCAGCCCCTAGGACGGTGAGCTCGACCTCCCGGCGCAGATGCAAAGGACGGCTCCGAGCGCCAGCGCACCGCGGCCCTCGTCACAAAGACCGCAGACCTCCCGGCAGCGAGGGCCACAGGCTGGGGATCCGCACGGCCCCGGCCCTGAACAAGGCCCTGGACGGACAGCGCAGCCCGTGCTACTGCGGACAAGAGGCCCTGGGAGTCCAGGCAGAGGCAGTGAACTCAGATTCAGAGTCAGCGCGACAGGGCACGGCGTGTGCGGCCGGGGCGCCGCCCTGGGCTTCTGGGGAGCCCGCTGGCCAGCAGCCACCTGTCCGTGTGCGCGTGGGCGGGGCTGCCACGCCCCCTCCTCCCGGACACGTGGGTCTCCCTGGCCAATCGGAGCGCAGCGCCACCCTGTCCCGGGTGCTGGGCCCAGGGGTGCGCACGTGACAGGTCCAGGCCGAGGAAGCTCTATCCTGGGGCCTCTTCCTCGCGGCTCTGCGGGCTTCACACTTGGATGATGAGCCTGCAGCCCTAGGTGGCCTTCCCCTGGGCGTGGGACGAGGGCCTGCCTACAAATGTGGACAGATTTCCGCTGCACAGTTCGGGCTCCTGGATCAAGCTGTACCTGAAGAAGACTCGGCTACACAAACCAATAGGTTGTCACCACGTGTATGCCAGTTTGGGTTGGACGCTGACACTTGCTGCTAAAAGGCCATACTCCCTTCTGGGTGCAGCAGCCAGGCTGACACAAGCGTGCCCCTGGGTTCTCTGGGCCTCCCCAGTCACTGGCTTTCTGCCCCAGAGAGTCCTTACATGCCTGAGACTCGCTCAAGAGGCAAGTTTCCCCTTTTTAACAAGGGGGGAAGCTGTGGCGTTGAGAAAGGACCATCAAGGCTGGTTTCCCCCTCGCCGAGTTCTGAGCCACCCTGCAGCCAGCTGCTACCTGCGGAGCCCAGCGCAGCCATCAGGGATGGGGGACGGGGGCTCCATGCAGCCTCGCTGCTGGTCTGGGTAGGTGCCTAACAAGAGAACCACCCCAATGGAGCCTTCAAGGGGAGCCGAACCACCCCAATGGAGCCTTCAAGGGGAGCCGGAGCCGGGCAGGGCATTCAGGGCAGGCGTGCTGGACGGTGCCAGAAGGAGGAGCCGACGGCGCCCTGCAGGCCACCCCCCCGTGAGGCACTGGGGGTTGGGGGAGGTGGCAGGCTAAGGAGGCTCACTGGGGGCCTGGGTGGGCTCTCCATCACTAACCACACCACCCCAACCCGTCCACCGTGCCCTGCAAGGCACCATGTCGCCCCGATTTCACAGATCTGAGGGCACCTGTTCCAGCAGTGGCTGTTTCTACAGCTTGGCTTTGGCACAGACCTCTGTCCCTTTAATCAGGGGACCGGAAACGGGGGAGATGAGATTCTCCACCCCTGCAGAGGGAGGGACATGGTGGGGACCCAAGACACCCTGGTCCAGGTAGGCGTCCACCGTGAAGAGAGTGTGCCTACCCAGGCATCTGCTCCCCATGGGAGTTCAGCCCCCACGGGGCTCCCCAGCACCTGTCCGCTCAACCCGAAGTGCAGAGCCAGGCTGGCCAGGCATGGGTGCCCAGCCCAGCCCCAGCCTGGCCTCGGCCCGTGGGAAGAGACAGCCACGCCAGCCGCTGGCTCACCTGCCCCAAGACACAGCCGAGCCCTGGCTCATCTCTGAGACTCGGCTCCAAGGTCGTCTGCGGCCAGGAGGCCTCGCAGACCCAGGCTGGTGGCGGGACTCACACCCTGAGAGCCGTGATGATGGTCTTCCCAGATGCACCGGCTCTCGAACCTGCCTCTTCCACGGCCGGCGGGGAGAACGGTTTTCCAGAAGCCTTCCGGGCCATGTTTACGGACCTCTCTTGCAACATGCTGAAAAAGCCACCCCTCCAACCTGTGCCAGAGCCAAGCAGGCGTTTTCTCACCGTCTCCAAGGCGTGGCAAGGCCCAAGAGACTCCAGCAGGACCGCCCACCACACTCTCCTCCCAGCCGAGGCCAAAGCCCCTCTCTACCCAGCAGCCTCAGCATCTCTATCAGGGCAAGAGTTCCACTGGGAGGCGGTGCCACCTCTGGGGGCAGATGGGCGTGGGCTCAAGTCCAGCATCATCCGCTGGGGAGATGATCTTGAGGTCACTGCCTCTCTAGAGGCCAATGAGGAAAGTGACCGGCAAAGAGCCCAGCCCAATTCCCGGGACCCGGGCACTCCACACCGAGAGCCCTCCTCCCAGCTCCTGCCTCTGAGCAGAGAACGTCCCGTGGGTGGATATCACCATGCGTCCGGTGGTTCAGGAAAGACAGAAGGGACTGGCTGTGCAGCCTGACCAGAGACCCCTCCGCGCCTGAGAACCAGGAGTGATGCCAACAGGGCGGCTCCGAGGCTTCAGAGAAGCAGAGCCGGGCGGCTTCCTCGTTACCCCAGCCATGATCGGTCACTGGGGTACTTCTGATGTGGAGGAGCTCCGCGGGGCCTGGGGGCTAAAAACTACATTTCCCAGACTCCTCTGGGGAACGGCTCAGGATGCAAATTACTTTCTGCACTCAGAGGGGAGCTGGAATGTGAGAAACCTTCTTTCTGCAGAGTCTGGGCCTGCGTTCTAGGACCTGGGGCCAGGTAGTGGGGACCACTGACATTTGCAGCAGTGACTTTGTGACGTCTGGGTTCCACTCACTCCGGTGACGTGACCGTGACTGGGGGCCTGGTGACCCCCCACTCCAGCCCTGCTAGCAGCAGTATAAGCCCCCGATTCCTGCATTCAGTCTCTCTCCTCTACCACAGCCTGCCCCCTTTCTGCTTGTGCACTGAGCCTGCCTGAGACACAGGCAGGCGTTCCATCCCCAGACCTGTCAAGGAGTGGAGTTGGGAGGGGTCAGCTTTAAGGCAGAAAGGAGGAACCCGAGAAAGAATTTGCGAACAGAGGTGAGTTCCACTTGCCCTATGCCAGAAAGCCCTGAAAAGCAGTGGCACAAAGGAGGAGCTCAAATACAGAAATGTATGCTATACACACCGTACATCAACCATATGTATGTGTATATATATATATATGCACAGGATGAATGGATGGACAGGTGGTTGGATGGAGGACGAATGGGCGGTTTGATGGACAGATGGATGGATGGATGGGTGGTTATATGGATGTGTGGATGAATAGATGGATGGATGGGTGGGAGGATGCATGGATGGACGGACAGATGGTTGGATGGATGGACAGATGGACGGATGGATTGAACAAGCAATATACACGTGAATGCTAGAAATCAGGAGGTAGATGTCCCAGAGACATCTTTTTCACAACTTGTCACTTTCCAAGGGCATCCAGTTTTACAGCAGGCCTGCTAAGGAGCCAGACATGTCCGCTGCCAGTGGCAATATCTCCACCAGTCACACGAAGACGACCTCTCTGCCTCCCTCGAAAGTCACCTCCACAATCACCCCTAAAGTCAGCTGCCTGCCAATGCAGGAGGTGTAAGACACCCAGGTTTGATCCCTGGGTCAGGAAGATCCCCTGGAGAAGGAAATGGCAGCCCACCCCAGTATTCTTGCCTGGAGAATCCCATGGACAGAGGAGCCTGGTGGGCTGCAGTCCACGGGGTCACAAGAGTTGGACACGACTGAAGCGACTTAGCATAGCATAGCTTAGGACTGCAGCAGAGCAGGCTTCAAACTCATGTCCATCGAGTCGGTGACACCATCCAGCCATCTCATCCTCTGTCGTCCCCTTCTCCTCCTGCCTTCAATCTCTCCCAGCATCAGGGTCTTTTCCAATGAGTCAGCTCGTCACATCAGGTGGCCAAAGTATTGGAGTTTCAGCTTCAGCATCAGTCCTTCCAATGAACACACAGGACTGATCTCCTTTAGGATGGACTGGCTGGATCTCCTTGCAGTCCAAGGGACTGTCAAGAGTCTTCTCCAACACCACAGTTCAAAAGCATCAATTCTTCGGTGCAGTCTTCTTTATGGTCCAACTCTCACATCCCTAAGTGTAAAGACATCTAATTCCTTGCATAAGACAGGTCTGCTTCCTGGGCCACCGGCCTCGGGCGAGCAGGGCCCAGCCTGGCGGGTCCCACAGGAACTGCGGCTGAAGGGAGTGCCTGCTCTGAGTCTGCGGGGCTCCCGGCAGGTCGCTGGGGAGACACATCTGTTCTTCCGACCATCCCTGCTACCTCCCAGCTTACACTCCCAGCCAGTGAGGGGGTGGGCGGCACTCAGGGCCTCCTCGTCCCGGACCGAGCACCACCCCCCCAGCCCTCCCTGCGAGGCCCCAGCACCGAGCAC